AACACTTTTCGAAGAAAGAAGAGAAACATTTCTCTGTACATTTCACAGAAGGAGAAACAACTCAAATTCTTAACACTTATCACATATAATGGGGAGACAACTCTCAACATTTATCACAGTGAAAGGGGAAACAACTCTTAAATAGGTTTCACAAATTGACTCTTTACACTTCTTTCTCAACACTTACTTTCAAATGAAGGGAAATAACTCTACCTCAACACTTTCTCAGACAGATCGGTAGACAACTAACTATAAGCAGACTTCATTTAACTTGTGCCAAGAAATGACCTTTATTAATTACAATAATTTGTTTTCTTTTTTGTTTATTTTATAAAAAAAACTTTGCTGCTATTTATTTATGATTTTAAATTTTTGATCCTGAGTAAATATGGCTTTTTATTAGACAGATTAATGCTTACAAGTCTTTCTAACTTTAAATCAGAAAATTCTTCCAGTACTTCCATACAATACATCAACCCAATACCATAGTTATCAACACCTGTCATATCATTTAAAACTCCTCATCCTTTACTGATTGCCTTTATAGCTTTTATCATATCAGGCACTTTAACTTACAGTTACAGAATTACATAATAAAGTAATATTAAGTATTTACCGCCTCTGTATCATTTGCCAGAATTCAATGCGAGATGTTAATATAACACATATTACACAAATTTGAAAAAAACAATGATAAAGAATCTTAACTGATATCTCCTGTTTCATCACTTGATGTTTATGTTACTAATTTCATATCAGGAAATAAATTTGTGTTCTTCCAACATAAAAGACCGATCTTGAATTCCAACCATCACCTACTCTCATAAACATACACTCAAGAAGATTTTCTAATCAGTGAAGATGTAATAAACGCTAATACCTAGCTATACTGATGGAGATGTTATAATCTTGCCACAGCTAACAAATCAGGACATGACTAGTTATCAGGTTGTATACTGTATTTATAGACTTCACAAGACATAATCACTGTTACAGCCTTTTAAATGACTCTGACATTTATTGTGCAAATAGCAAACATACCAGATTAAAAAAAAACTCCTTAAATGATTTTAACATATTTGAGACTAGGTCACTACCAATTCATTGAGATAAGAGTTTTTAGGTTTAAATTTAACATGTTTGCCAGGTCCATATCATTTCATTTGTTACTGAAATGACCTCGATTTGAAAGAAACCATTGGCAGATTAATCACATATAGTTACATGAAGTGAATAAATTTCAACTGCTATTTGACTGGCTAGTGATGACCTTGTGAGGACAGGAAAGGGATTACCTCGTTTGGACAGGGTAGGCATGATATTGTGTGGACTAATGGAAAAATATTGCCTTGTGTGAACTGACCAGTGATGACCTTGTGAGGACAGACAAGGACGACCTTATTTGGACTGGATAGTAATGACCTTGTGTGGACTATTGGACAATGATGACCTTGTGAGGACAGGAGAAGGATGACCTTGTTTGGTCTGGATAGGAATTACTTTGTTTGGACTAAATAGGGATGACCTTGTGTGGACTATTGGACAATGATTACCTTGTGAGGACAGGAGAGGGATGACCTTGTTTGAACTGAATAGGGAATATCTTGTGTGGATTCGACAGGAGTGATCTTGTGTGGACTAGACAGGGTGACTTTGTATGTACTTGACAGGAATGACCTTGTTTGGATTGAACAGTTATGACCTTGCGTTAACTGGTCAAGGTCGCCCTTGTGTGAACTAGAGAGGAACAACCTTGTGAAGACTGGACAGTGGTGTCATTGTGTGATGGCCTTGTGTGGACTGAACAGAAATGACTTTGAAGTTTACAAGCTAGAAACATATAATGTGCAGAATTCCATATCTTTAGGATCACTCTCACTCTACAAAAACACGGGACTCTCCACGTTTTTACCATTTAGCAGGTATTTACATCTAGACCTTGGATTCGGCCAAAGTCTAACACATGTCAAGCGATAGCATGCTTTGTTTGTTAGTCTTGTCTTATCAGTAAAACAAGCTTGCAAACATATCATTGCCTGACCAGTGTAATGTACAGCAATGTCCATCAGTATACTTGTTACTGCCAGTAATGTATCTCCTGTTGAGAAATACACCCTTCCCTAGTGACACTAACTCGTTAATTATACTAAACATCCCTGCGACCTTTTGACCTCTACAAGATCAACCTATGATGCTGTGTCAGCCAAAACTCCACAGCTGAAATTCCTATTTGTGGTTATGGAATTTACATGTTCTACAAGAAACAGTACAGAATACCTACCAGGAAAACAAATGTTTCGAATACTTCCTGCCTCCTTACACCTGTTTACAGAAATCTTTACATCAAAAAGCCTTAAATTAGTTGGGCTAGCTGAGATTAGTGCCTTCACCGCAGGAACAAAAAAAATGAAGTTTTCAAAAAATCAGTCATAAAATTTTAGTTCATCTATAAATAGATGCAAACCTGATTTCTGTAAAACACGGCAACACTTGGGACCTAATGTATGTGTACATAGAATCAATTATTAGTTTATCTACGGCTCTTACCACTTTTCATAATTAACATTAGGTGCTGGCATGAAGCTGTATAAACAACACACAAAAATATATGTGTTTATGTTTTCATTTCCTCATTTTACGGTGGCTACAAAATCTTCCCATTTAATGTGACTTATTAATCAATTAACTTTACCTGTACATCTGTTCTCAAGTGTTTACATGTTCATTTTGAAAACAAATATTATGTTTACCGGTAAACATGTTTATTTATTCTCTCATTGATTCATTTAGTCATCAATTGGTTCTTCTAGAATACAATTTATATTTATTTTCACGTTTATGTTTTGTTGTAGAAAACCTATTTTTCAATTTGATTGACTTAGAATGTTGGGTTTTTTGTTCCAGTGATATATATGCAAATTTAATTACACAATGCATAATAGCTTTATTGGACCTTCAGCAATTTTAAGAGTTGATAGCTGAGGTTGAAGACTCCTGAGAACAAAGCAGTTTGAAAGATCATTTATTTCCACTGAATGCAACACCTGTATCAATACATATTTTCTTCCAATCTTTTTTTTCTAACTTTCTCCATCACCTGAACTTGATATGAACTAAACCTTCAATGATGTAAACAGAAGTCCAAAAAGTGCATAACTCATGTAATTTACATAAGTCAACATAAATCTAGAATTTATGTCTGTCCCTATACCCACATCCCCAATGCATAATATGACCTTTGACCTTTTAATCTTGACCAATGATCACTTAATATCGTAAATTGTAGATTTTGATGTTACTTTATAATACTATTACCTAATTTCATAATAATGAGCCAAATTTGCACAGCGGTTCTCAAGAATTGACATCAATTCAAACTTGGACACAAAGTGAGGTGACGCAACAGAATGGGACAGACAGACATAGGTAACAATAAAAACCCCTCCCCATAATACAGTAATAAGGGCATGAAAGTGGATGCGCACTTTTGCTAAAGGGAAAAGTTATGTATACTTAACTTTATAGCTTACAAGCATGAAGGCAAATAATTATATCACAGACATGATTAAAACAGTAATAAAAGGAGATACTCGTATAACTCTAATAAAACAGTCAAGAGAATATACATGTCGACAAAAAAGTGGTTGCTTCAGAACATCATTATAACTAAGACTAAACAGCCTATAAACATTAACAGAACATAAGAATGGCTTCACAGGCATGTTTGTATAGTAATGAAAGTCTAACAAACCTATAGCCCTATACCTGTAATCATACAGTATGTTACATAACTGTTGTATATCTACAGGGTGTAGTCATTTCCTGTTTGCTCCTATAATGGTGGGCCATCTTCAGCTTTGGAAGCAATAGTCAAGGTATTATTTACATGTGTATACTTTGGCAAATTTCCACGAGATAACAGCACGAACAGAAGAAAATTCCATCAGCATGCATGCACAGTTTACCAATAGGTGTTTCCTCTCTCCTATTTTGCAATTGAAATATTTTACAGTCTATATCTATCATTTTTATCTTGTTTCTTCCAAATATTAGAAAAAAAAAGTATTTAATTTTATCAGGCTCCAATCCTAACCAGTATTTAAATTGTTTTGGTAGGGGTATGTCAAGTACAACAACACTATTCCTAAAGTTTACAAGTGTTCATTGCCTTCCTTTTAACTCAGGTAACGCAAAATAAATATTTCTGATAATATATTTGAAAAAAAACAAACAAACAAGCAAACTGCCAAAATTAACAGCTGTGAGAAAATGGCCAAAGAAATCAAGTACATGGTACTGTATCTTAGACCTGTAGGGTAAGAAAAAGGGAAACGTTTAAGGGTTAGATAACTGATACACCTTCAACATGTTTTGTGGATTTCAGAAAAGGGAGATAAGTTCCAGAGGTACATTGTAAGAAAATTGGTATAAAGCTAAAAAAAATCTTATATTATACACACATTCAAGGAAAAGTTAGACAAACAAAGAGGATGGTAGCGAGCACATGGCAGTTATCCCAATCTCCCAGGTAAATGTGTTTGATTTGGCCATGTTACTCTGTTGCAAAAACACAAAAGAAATACCTAGTGTAATGGTACAATGACAGTGAGGATATGCACCTGTGATTAACCTGCATGTCATGTACACCTGCATGACATGATCGTGTTTTATTAGACCTAACGACATCTCCTTATCTCTATTTTTTCTGTTTCAAGGTGATCTAAATATGTAGTATTAGATTTGCCTGCCATGTGGTTTACTTATAGAAGTGCAGGTTATTTTTCTTTTCATCATCATTGGCATGTTGAACAGGTGAGTAAAGATATGCAAGTACATTTTTTGTACCTATCCTGGCAAAAAAATGTGGGTTTCTTAAAAAGAGCAAATATGTGTCAAAGAGGAGATGATAGTATTCCCAAAACTTTGCACACAAGGAAAGTGAATATAATGTTAAATATATACAAAGAACTTTGTATTAAAATGTAAATTCTACTACTTACTGTTTCTGGCCAGGTGTAGCTGAAAATAAAGTAAAGAACAGATGAATTAATTTTGCAAAATAACTTCAATAGCATTATTAAACAGTCAAACAGCAACATCAACTTCCTGTTTCAGAAATCAGTTGAATTGGGCTACTGTTAACTTTGTCCAAAACCCTATTTACTGCTGCTGTCTTGCTTTCAATTGGCAATCTTCATGTAATATTTAACAATCCAATACATTGCTCTCAATGTCCGTCTTAAGTAATCTCAAAAAAATGAAAGAGTTTCCTAAACAATACAAGTTACACCTGTAATAATACCTGCACGTCAACTACAAACTGAGGTAAACTAGATGAATGGAATTTTGGGTCTATTTTCTTAAGTTAGAATTTACAATTCATGAGAAAAATATCTTTATCAATTTCAATCAAATTGCAATGAATTTTCGCGGAAGAACCTGACGACAACAATTTGAAAGCATGGGGAATTCACACATTCTGTATGTCAAATATAGTTATTATACCCAAATAGTAAGAACCTGCCGACAACAATTTGAAAGCATTGGGAATGCACACATTCTGTATGTTAAATACAGTTGTTATACTGAAATAGTGAGAACCTAATCTTATTTTTGTAAATTCTTCACAGTACACACCAGCACATGCAGCGACAAGTGCCAGATCTGTCTACCAACATCTTTGCTGTGATGATTTGTGTTCGGTACACAACTTGGCACCTGACGTTCGGAAGTCTGTTCCTAACAACACTCTATATTTTCACAACACTATATATTCTACTTTCGTTTTCATTTCTCCCGCGGGATGCTGGCAGAAGTTACAGACGCTGTTTAAAAGCGGATCCGGAGATTGACTACTTTATCCGGACTTGATTCCGTGATGCGTTCGTTCACTTTGATGAAACATCTATGATAAAGCTCGGGTGATACAATAGAGCGTCTTGTCGTATAGGAAACGGGTTCTAAAACTAAAATGTGTAGGTCTTATTGTTAACATAATTACAAAAGAACATACGCTAGCGCGTGACTTTACACTAAAACCATGGTCAGTCATTCGCGTTCGTAATTTTTAAATTTATTCGGTAAATTTTATCTTATCATTTATGTGCTATTTTTCGCGGTGTAAAATCTGGTGTATCTAATAACAAATTTTATTTTTACATCAGTGACGTCATTTGATGACGTTGAAAAATTAAGTTGTAAAGGAAACGAACACCATATTTTTCAGGCTTGTAATACGCTGACCATCATACGGTACATTTTATATACGGTATGTTCAGTTATAATACATGCATGGAAAAAACCAAATGAAAACGTATCCAAATTTACATAGATTCCATCTGATTGGTACGTTATACTGTATGTATCAACTCTATACTTATGTACACTCTGTACCTTCTCATTAGTGTTTTGAACTCGTCCCAAAATTAGAAAGCAACGACTGGACATATTACTTGAACTTGGACCAGTTTTCTGAATTCAGCATCCATTTCTAATGAGACAGAACAATTACCGCAAAAAGTCCTTTTGTTCTACATATCGGTATTCTACTGAGAGTAATGACGAGTCAAGCTCCAGGAGAGCTGTGGCAAATGTAAGAAACGTTTGAACATCTTTACACCCGGAAACTTTGACCCTCGTTATCAAAGATTGTAAAACATGAAAAACCAAGGGGAATTGTGATCCATCGTTATAAGTTACTTACGTTAAAATAACCATACAAATCATCTCGATATCAAATACTGAACAATCATCATGAAAACCTTGATATATCAAATGTTTCTTCAAATCTATGGAAACCCATCAATACCAACTACTAAAATCTATGGAAACTCATCGATATCAAATACTAAAATCTATGGAAACTCATCAATATTAAATACTACAATCGATGGAATCTCATCGATATTAAATACTAAAATCTATGGAAACTCATCAATATCAAATACTAAAATCGATAGCAACTCATCGATATTAAATACTGAAATCTATGGAAACTCGTCGATATTAAATACTAAGATCTATGGAAACTCACCGATACCAAATACTAAAATATATAGAAAATCATCAATATCAAATACTAAAATCTATGGAAACTCATCAATATCAAATACTTAAATCGATGGCAACTCATCCTAAAATCTATGGAAATACGATATCAAATACTAAAATATATAGATATCATATAAAATCATCAATATCAAATACTAAAATCTATGGAAACTCATCGATATCAAATACTAAAATCTATGGAAAATCATCAATATCAAATACTAAAATCTATGGAAAATCATCAATATCAAATACTAAAATCTATGAAAACGCATCGATATCAAATACTAAAATCTATGGAAACTCATCGATATCAAATACTCCTTCAAACTTATATGAAAACCAATCGATATCCTTTAATCACACAAAGACCTTCGAAAATCGTTCTATATCCATTATTTCTTAGCAAAAAGAGAATTTCTTCTCCACTAGACATTTGGTCTTCATCGGTGCGGTTTGAAGAGAGAGAGAGAAATAAATGCAAACTAAAACATATCCGAATATAACCGGACAACGTTGTTAACATAAGCTGTGGGGAATACATCCTATTGTGCGGTAATTAGACTATTGTGTGGAATATCTATCTTGGGCTTGATGTAATCAGCAGAGTTCCTTGGCGCTCCTTAATGTGTTATAAATGATTAATTACATATGCTATATATTTGCTTTCCACACCCGTATAAAAAAGACACTTTCGTCTCTGTCATATCAACGCTTAATGCGATATGCAAGAAAGGGGTGGATAAGCAAATAAACCGCTAATGCTGTTCTGTCCGAAGGTGTACTAGGTTCCGTTTGGATGCTGGAGATACTGTGCTGCCAACTCCAATGTACAGGCGATATATCCTTCATCCTTCGCCAAAACAAGCGATACAGTGACGTAAACACCTGCTATCTTCCGAGACGACTAGTGTTAGCTGGGTAACATTCCAGCCCGGAAGCATTGCCATCGTTACCAGCGGGCATACCGCTTCCTCCTGACGAGTGTCTCTGCTACAGTCGTTAAAACTGCCGCCTCAGAATATACTGACAAAGTCAATCTGCTTTAGGGAATACACATACACTACGCAGCTTTCACGATTTGCTCTCTTTTTTATTTGTTCTCGAAGGGCAGAAGAGAAATATGTTTTTATCATTTATAAATCTCGTTCCGTACATTCCTGCGCTGTCCCCTGTTAACACTGAAAGTGGTTCCGCTCCATTTCAGCTCACTTCCGGTGGTGACCTTACCTCATGTAGTACTCATATTTTGACTTCTATGCCGGTCACACACACAGATACGTTATTATATATCCTTCTCGTCTCCAGAAAATGTGTCCGCAACCGTATGGAATCCGTTATAAAACAGAAAACTGCGATTTCCACTTGTTAAAATCTATTTGTGACAAACCTATCGATAAGTGTGACCAATAACATGAAAAGTTAACATGATTGCCCTTTTTGTAATGACTGCGTGAATTTCCGGGAATATGATATATTAATATACACCCAAACAAGAAACTTACCACCAAAGTTTAGATTGATTGAAGCTGATACCTCTCCGAGTTTGTTTTTAGCCACAACTTTATAAGCTCCTGCATCGGCTTGCGTGACACCAATTATATCCATCATAATATTGTATTTACTTCCGCCGGCGGATTCCACGCGCATGCGAATTCTGTCGGATTCCGGAACTGGTGTTGTTCCTTGGAACCATTGTATGCTTGGTTTCGGAGATGCCTCCAGCGTACATTGAAACACAAGTCGTTTCCCGCCATCTTCCTGTTTCAGGACTGGCTTCTGTGTGAACCGTGGTGCAATATCGTCACCAACCCCCATCTTCACCCTCTACCTGTAACAAACAATAAACAAAATCATTATTCAGCGTAATGGTATTATAAAAGAAAATACAAATAAGAATGACAATAAAGCTGATTGGGGCAAAGAATAATTGAAAACTTCATCTGCCTTGCGACAAAATTGCAACATTGTGTCGTCAGCCTTGCCTAGACAACTCGTAAAACTAAATTTGTACCGTCTAACGTCTGACTTCAATGTCGTTTGCAGTGCTAAAAAGGTTGGAAATGCATCCACCCTGATTTTCGCGACACGCTGTAGTATCTAGCAAAATACCAAATAGCTGGTAACGTCAGAACGGCACAGTTGTTCTTTTATAACCCTGTATCCGTTTCCACCTAGTTCTGGTTCCAAGCGTGTACCAATACCCACTACTAAACACCAAAACACGTTATTTACAGCAGCGAAAGATGCCTATCGTACCTTCGAAGATAGTCAGGAATTTGGTTATACGTACATACACATGTAAATCTATATATAAACTGGACTATTGGACAGATCCATTACCAGCAGCCGCGGGGGGTGGGGGTACTGTCTGGTCAAACATGTAACATTGACGGGTCTAACACATGGATACCCACAGGGGAAGACGTCCAGATCAGTGGGGATCACGATTTCTGTAAAACCTCAAATCAATGAACCAATGCTGAACGATAATACCTTATCGATGTCGTTGAGATAATCTATAGGACGTTTGAGAGAATTGGGATGACAACGACAGAACCACGCAAAGTGTAACTACGATGTTTCAGAAAATCACATCAACAAAATTCAACTGCACACACGCAAAGAATAAACAAACTGCCAAAAGGTAACTGTCTTACCTTCTCGACAAGCATTTACATTTTTAATTCTATACCTTTAATGCTTTGACCATTTTCACTTTCACCGACAAATGACCACCAATCAACCCTAGATTCTCATGGTATGTACCTTAATCCAATTTTGGTTTTACCGTACATTGGTGTGTTTACTTGGATGTCGGCTGACGGAGTATCAGAGTACTAAACCAACTATTGCTGGCTACACACACCAATTAACAAGATCTATCACTGTAAAGGATTACGAATGGTGTCGGAAATCGTTTTAAATATAAATGTTACTTTTATATATATCGCATATACTCTGAAATATTCATTTTCGTGGGGGTTTATTTTCGGTCATTTCGTGGGTACTCTTTTTATCAACGAATTAAAATGTCCACAAAGAGAAGAATTAGTATAAGAAAATTAGCTGTATTTAGCCACGAGATAAGTGTGCACGAAATAGTTGCTTTAAAGAACTTGAAAAATAAGCCCCACAAAATATCAGATTTTTACAGTAGATACAAGATATTGTGATAAAACTCTTAAAGAAAGAACTTGATCTGGAAAATATTGCGACTGCACTCATTCCCTACTATAATAATTAAAAGTATATTTCCGTCAAAATTGTAGCGTTGCCGCTCTAGTAATTAACACTGAACACGTGCCATATAGGTATGTGTGGGGGGAAAGTATACTTGTATGAGGCGTCCGTACAACATTATCAGTACATCGTTGATTGTGAAGGACGCTTTTGGAGATACAACTCTACGGGGAGCTGGATTGTCAGATCAATCACGAGGAATGATGGACCGGTTTTTCATTAGTGTTGTACGACCCACTTGTACAACACTTTCGGATTGCATGTAGCTTTATCTACCTTCTAGGCTTTCGTACTACTGAAGTAGTGTACCCCACATGTTTCATCAATTACTTAGGTTATATAATCCCCGCACAAAAGCATCCATCGGGCTATAAATCATTTCGAGTCCCGTGTAAGATCGGAAAAGGCAAAAAAGATCTGTATATTCTAAATCAATTACTGTACATCAGCAGAATAATCGACTTGTCAATCACATCCGTGGAGATGTAATATTCCTATGATTACTATGCGAAATGTTCGCCGCGGTAATTAGTACTACTCTCTAAACAACATATCTCGTTTCTTGACATTTTTTTGTCGGTAATCTTTGAAACAAAGCAACAAAGACCACAAACCTAGTATGCACTGTACTTATCGTGTAGGCACATGCATAAACAGATGCACGATCTTAACCCAGAAAGAACATTCGTGTGGTTGTTAGGTAATGTCCCTAGTCAGTAACCACTACCAGTGGTTGGTCCTGGCACGCACTACTTGTAATTACTCACGCGAGGAATGTATTCTTCCTTCTAAGTGGTGTTATCCTTTGAAGATGGGGCACCAATTGGTATTTATGAAGAAACAGTACTTGATGTACGGGACAAAAGTGACTGTTATTAGATGACCATCGAATGTGATATTTTGTCTCTTGGGTTTAAGTGATTTTTTGTTTCTTGGGTGGAGGCACGTCTCTGGTATAGGTAAATTGGAAACTATACGTTGGAATTTCAATCCATCAGCCCATCCAGAAGATATCTAGATAGCGCTGTTCACTTTGGTCCTACTCTCATTTTGAGGTCAGAATACCTTGTCTGACAGAACAAACGTATTAAGTATCGGAAATATAACCATTAGAATATAACTCGTTTACTGCAATCATTGCTTTGATATATAAAATACTATATGGTGTCTACCAAAACAGTCTAAATAATGAACATGTCTAGTCAGTACTTATATCTGTGTCTACCGAAGTATTCAGTCCTGATGCACTGTAGTTGTGTCTACAGAACTAGTAAGTCCTGATATCTGTGTCTACCCAAGTATTCAGTCCTGATGCACTGTAGTTGTGTCTACAGAACTAGTGAGTACTGATAGCTGTGTTTCCTGAACTAGACAGTCCTGATAGCTGTGTCAACAGAACTAGACAGTCCTGATAGCTGTGTCTACAGAACTAGACAGTCCTGATATCAACAGAACAAGTTTGCACTGTAAATATATATGTAGCTGTAACAAGTCGATATTTACAGCTGTGTCTACAGAAAAAATATATACTTACAGTTGTGTCTACAAAAATAGTCGATATTTATAACCTATGTTTACAGAAAGATTCGATACTGACAGCTGTGTCTACAGAAAGATTCTATACTGACAGCTGTGTCTACAGAAAGATTCGATACTGACAGCTGTATCTACAGAAAGATTCGATACTGACAGCTGTGTCTACAGAAAAATTCGATACTGACAACTGTGTCTACAGAAAGATTCGATACTGACAGCTGTGTCTACAGAAAGATTCGACACTGACAGCTGTGTCTACAGAAAGATTCGATACTGACAGCTGTGTCTACAGAAAGATTCGATACTGACAGCTGTGTCTACAGAAAAATTCGATACTGACAACTGTGTCTACAGAAAGATTCGATACTGACAGCTGTGTCTACAGAAAGATTCGGTACTGACAGCTGTGTCTACAGAAAGATTCGATACTGACAGCTGTGTCTACAGAAAGATTCGATACTGACAGCTGTGTCTACAGCCGTGATACATGTTTCTTATTTTGTCAGGACATTTTTTGTAATTGTAACATAAACACATCGTCACAGATTGGCATGCAAACACGCCATGTTGCGCAGGTGCGCGATGATTGCCTGCAAAACAATATCATTTGCAGCGACTATAAATACTTTAATAAGATCATTCCAGTATTTAAATTTAAACCCTTAGTTTTGCTGGTTTTACCATGATTTGAACTAAAATGAATTGTTCATTATAGAAAGTTCATCAAGTTATCAAGTTTCTAAGCCCACAATTCTGACGTCACAATCGTCAAGCGCTACATGTCATTTATGATACTTTTACTACTCAAGCTAACAACCAACACTATGGTACATGAACCTTTTATTTTGACGTTGCGCAATTTTGTCAATGGGTTTAATTGAAGCTGAAGTGTGGTTTGTGCAATTGTATGTTGTAGCATACAATGTTCAGTCGCAGTATGACTGATGTTGTGGGGACTATCTTACACGTGTATTAAAGGCTGATAATTCATGATACCAAGTGTTGACGTCGTTGTTGGTTTTTTTTCTTTCCATTTCGTCTGGATTAATCTTGCACACAAAACAAGAATGAAATCAATTACAGAGAATGTACAATGATAAGTTATTTTGTCACACAAAGCAATGATTACCGCTACATATTTTCCTATCAGTGTTAATCAAACGCCCATTCCATCATCAGGTTCGAGATAAATATATATATAGTGTCCCGGGGTGATCTTATGGCGTGAAACAGAAAGTCGATTACATTATATTGTGATGATATGACGCACATGCACGTGTAAATATCCCCCAGGTCCATGTGCATTTATTGTCATTCGCTTGTTTGCACGAGCACGATTTGTCATGCATTAGACTCGATGGCCATGCAAGACATTCCGTATGCCTATCAGCGTCAGCCGGGGCAAACCTTAGTATGTAATGCACGCGCATTACTCCTTCTGTACAGTAGTGATGCATTCGATTATAGGCACATTTCCAACAAAAGTCTGAGTACGGTGTGAGAGAACCACCGACTTCAGGAAGTATGTGAACTAACCTTTTAATACTTAAATGTCGATACTACGATATATTGTAAAGACCCGAGAGTGTTACCAGAAATACAAATAAAATCCAATGAGTTCCAGATTGCATGCGAATAAAATGAAACGCTCTCGAGAGTTACCCACTCTTTCCTAATTCAACCCCAGCCCTTACAGCAATCGAACGGTGATTTCACAAGGCATTAGTCCGCCATTAATTGAATGAAGTACAAAGTGGTATCCAAAATCAACAGAAGTAACACGTTTCTAACGGCCTTGGAAATCACGTGACGTACATTTACAATAACCTCTATAGTGTTTACGTAAGAAATTTGTTAATATTCTGTCGGAATCACTATGTGTTATGTATGCAATGCGCACGTGGTCTGATTATCAATAATTGTTTACAATACATCCATGTATGATAGCGCCAAGGCCAAAGACAAGTTCTCGTTAGAAATCCTAGTCCGGAAATCTCGTTATTCCAGACACATTACTTTCTCCGAATAAACTCAAGAAAAAAACGCATTTGT